TCTACTCTACTCTACTCTACTCTACTCTACTCTACCCTACCCTACCCTACCCTACCCTACCCTACCCTACCTTACCCTACGCTACCCTACTCTGTAAATCTTTGTCTTCCTGCTCGGATTTCCTTCCAAAACAGGGGTCTCCAACCTTGGCAACTTTTAAGACTTGTGGACTTCAACTCCCCAAATTCCTCAAGTCAACTCCGGGAGTTAAAAAAAAAAATCCACAAGTCTTAAAAGGTGCCAAGGTTGGAGAGCCCCGTTCCCAAAGACTCTGACCCGACGGTCCCCATTTGCTCAACCCGCCCGGGATCGCCCCGTCCCAAGCGCCCTCGGCGGGCCCTTACCTTCCCTGGGAGTCGGGGGGACGTGGTCGCTGCCGGCCAGCGGGATGCAGAGGTCGTTGTCCTGGGGGAATCGGCTGCAGTCCAGCATGTCCGGCCAAGGGAAGCCGAAGGCGGACATCACCGGGGCGCAGCTGTTCTTCACCTGCTCGCAGAGCGAGTGGCAGGGCTCGATGGTCTCGTCCAGGTCGGCGAGGCAGACGGGCGCGAAGAGGGAGCAGAGGAACTTGCGCGTGTCCGGGTGGCAGCGCTTCTGCACCAGCGGGATCCAGGCGCCCGCCTGCTCCAGCACCTCCTGCAGGGTCTCGTGGCCCAACAGGTTGGGCAGCCTCATGTCCGGGTACTCGATGCCCCGGCAAAGCAAGAGGGAGGCCGGGATGGGCTTGCAGTTGGAGCGCTTGTAGGAGAAGTCCGGCTCGCCGAAGAGGAAGAGACCGCCGGCCAGGCCGAGGCAAGCGGCGGAGACGACGAGCAGCAGCCGCGGCAGAAGCTGCGGAGGGCGCATCTTTGCCGAAGGGCCGCGGGGAGGAAAAGGGCTTCTGACCACCCGCGACCACCACCACCGCCACCACCTCTGGGAAAGCCAGGAGCCGTCGAGGCGGAGGAAGGAGCGGCGCGAGCTTCACCCTCCGCCCGCCGGCCACTCGCGGCTCTTTTCCCTCCCCCCCCCCCACGCCCCCTCGAAGCGCTGCCGCTCCTTCGCGCGCACCGACGGGAGAGACGCTGCCCGACGCTCTCTCGACGCCTCCCCGGCTCCGGCGGGCATTTCTTATGCAAATAGAGGGAAGTGGGTGGGGGGCGTTGCGGGGGGGGAGGGGAGGGCGAAGAGGCGGAGCCATCGGGTCAAATAGCCGGCCTGGATTGGCCGCGGCTTTCCCTGAGGGCCGTTAAAGGCTTGGCTTTGGGGGGGGGCGTTGTGGGGGGAAACGGGAGGAGCCTCCGCCCGAAAAGAGACCCTCTCCACACACACGCACGCGCTGCCCGGAGAGGAGAACCCGCGTGTGGAGAGGCTCTGAGAGAGAGAGAAAGAGAGAGCGGGCTGGTCCTCCGGCGTTGGTTCTCCATCTCCCGGCTCCTCTCACGACTTCTTGCCTGGCTGCCAAAAAAGGAAGCTCCGCCCGGGAGAATCCGCAACGACGTTGCTTCTTTTACTACGGCTGACGGGGACGGGACGGGACGGGACGTGGGGGGGCTGTCTGGGAAGAGAAAAGCCTGGGCTTGAAGTCAGAGAGGCGGCCACCACGCTCGACAATCTCTTTCGCTCTCTTTCTCCGTCTCGCTCCCTATTTGTCCCCTTCCCTCTTTCATCTTCCTTCTGTCTCTCTTCTTCCCCTCTCTCTCTCTTCCTCCTCTTCCTTTCTCTCTCTCTTTCCTTCCCGTCTTCCATCTCCCCCCTCTCTCTCCCTCTCCTCCTCT